ATAAGACTGAGATACTCAGATCTTTAGAATTCCCAGCATACCAAGTACAAGTAACCTGCTCATATATCATTATACTTACCCAGATGCACTAATTTGGTCAGAGTTTCTGAATGATCAACATAATCTCGAAGTGTGAAGGACTCAAAGGGAAAAAGTGGCTTGGCCACGGTCTGCACAGCTTCTTCCTTGGAAATCTCCTCCAAAGCAGATAAAGGCAATACATTGTCCCAATCTGGAAGACACCATGACCAAGTTATTGGATGTTCACAGTAAAGAATAAATAGAATGTGCCTCCAGGTCTGTCTCAAGTACCAGAACAATTAAAAAAATAATCTTATTGGAGCTTTTGCTTACAATGTGCAATTCTTCTGTGAAGTAACTATGAAGACTAACAGCAGCATAGGTAACTAGGTATAATGTAATGAACTGAACAGCAAAAACGTTTAAGGATTGCCTTTTCATAAATTATGCAAGTGCTTATATAAGTGTGTAACTTTAAAAACTAAGCAATTTAGTTTAATGATTGCAAATTAAAATAGTCCATACGCATTTGTAGAACCATAGCTGTAACATACAACAATAGACAGGTCACTCAATCTCTCAAATGGAGGTAATTTCTCTTTCCTATATCATAGCGCTGGATGACAGGAAGTTAATGCTTGGAAAATTCTTGAAGCTCCTCAACTGATGCAATTGGAGTAACCTAATAGCTGCCTTTAATACTTCTGACTATACTTTTCTTGTTATTGAAGCTGAGAAAATCCATATCCCTCTATCCTCTCCCGAGTTTTCTTCTATGTCTCATCATCTCTCAAACATAATCTTAGTGTAGATCTTCTTTATCTCCTTGACTGGGCTCAATCCCCAGAACTTTTCTTCCACTACATCACATTTCACCTGCAAACACATCTCCAGCTGCCACCTCTCCATTTGAGACCTGTTTCTTTCTTTGGTTTTAATAGTCCAAAGTTCAGCCTCTCTAACATCTTCTCACTAATTTCTAGCAGTAAACTCATGTTCAATATAACCAAAACAGTCTTAACCTTCAGACACAAGCCCTTCCCACAAGCTTGTTTCATAATCGCCAGGGATCCTGATTTTCTCCGATTAAAAACTGCAAATTCTCCGATTAAAACCCAAAATCTGTGATAAAATTACAGGCCCCCCACCAGCCCTGCTGGTGCCCTACACACCCCTACATAGCCTCAACAGCCCTCCTGATGCCCCTCACAACAGCCCCCCAGACCCACACATGCAGGCACAGAGGCACACAGACACTGACACCCACTCCAGCAGGTAAGTGCGTGTGGGGGGAAGGGAAGGTGTTGTGGGGTAGATCAAGAAGGTGAGCATGCCCCTGTGCCCACTCCCAGGAGCAGGGCCAGGGCCAGGGCCAGGGCCAGGGCATGAGGGCAGGGGTGCCACTCTGCAGGCCACATACGCACTGGCCAGCCTGACAGGGGGTTCGCACACAGATGCTGTCACTGCAACTCTGCCACTACACCCTACGCTACCATCCCATGGCCACCCACATGGCTTCGTGGGCAAGTGGCACAGGGGCATGCTCACCTCCTTGATCTACCCCCCCAACACCTTCCCTTCCCCTTGCCCTGCCCCACCCCTTCCCCCCACACACACTTACCTGTGTGTGGGCCTGGCCGGGGGGGGGGGGGGGGGGG